TTTGGATACTCGATAAATTACTCTTAAGAATATTTCATTCAAACTATAAGCTAAAACTAAATATGTGGCTCTATGGAATATTGTTGAAAAACTCTATGTGTCTATCGATTATGATATTAAGACCATGTCAACTGGGAATTCTTTTATAATTTCAGAAGGAAATAAGAATCCTTAATCAATAGTTGTCTTGGATATTCTTATTTGATTCTGAAAATACATGGTTGTATCATTATTCAGCATTGTTAATGATTACTTTTTCACATTTTCAACTTACATACTTTTTGGATTATACTCTTTAACATAATTATTCATGAGCATTGCATGTCCTTATTATTTCATATAAATATCCACCATTGATTAATTTGCACACTTTTGCCCTTCTAATAGAAATAAATCAATGCACGTGCCAAAGGATAATATGTAATCAATTTAGGGGTTATCATTTGTATTCTCTAAATTCAAATTTAATTCTAAATTCTCAAGGATTATTTCTGAATTATTGTATCGACTAGATTTTGAATTAAATTGAAATGATTTCGACTCAACTAATTATTGATTGGAAAATTTCGAAAGGATTGGTTATAATATGATATTCTATGGATCAAATGGATCTATTTCATCATTTCTATAATTTTTTCTCATATAAAATGAAGAAATGAAATTCTCCATGTAGAAATATTTTTCAGCTTATGAAGTTTAAATACTTGTTATTTTTGGTAATAGAGTATTGTTTTACCACTGAATGATTTAATAACAGAAATAAGCCAGACATGATCCATACAAGAATAAAGTAGCAATTCCCCCGAATATTGATTTGTACTCAGGATTAAGATCTATAACAGATGGTCGAAATATAACACCAAATCTGTCTATCTGTTTGATACCTTGAGTTAATCTTCTCAGCATTTGAATAATTATTAAAATTTTCTCAAATTAGATTATAGATTTTTGTTATAATGCAAAAACATTGTGACTACCATAAGGTTATTCCAAAATTTAAGAAACAAAAGATTTTCTCAGATATATTAATGAGTGTTTAACTGTTTTCAATTTGTGATATTTTCGATTATATTATCTACCATAATTAAAACACAGAAATTCTAGTTGAAATCTATTTCAGAATTTAATAACTTATTAAATAAACTATATGTAAAAATTAACTTTAACTAAGCCAAATGCTCAAAATCATAAATGATTAATAGATGAAATTAAATAAATTATAGATGTAACGTTAAAATCCTTTTTATCATCAGGAATAAATAAAAAATTTGTCAAAATATGTGGAATACATTCAAGTGAATAGGAACTCAATCTCAATTAAAGGAATTTTCTCTAAATTTTTTTATGTTAATACAAAAGAATAATGTGATAGGCATTTGCAAATTTCTTTTATACGTGCGCTACAAAAATGAACTTGATAAACAAAGAAGAGAATATGCAAATTTGCAATTGCTTAAGCAATATGTAAATTATTGCAAGAAATTGAAAAAATGAAAAAGAACAAATAGAGGGACTACCTTGGGTTTGACATAAAAATATTTAGATGTTAACCTTAATACAATAAGATGCTATTTTGATGGAAAATCCTTAGAATAGTCTTGGCTAATGAAACTGAGACTATAATCTATTTGAAAATAATGAAAGATTAGCTTAACGAATAAAAATGAAATTTTTTGAGACTGTTTCTATAGTAAATCATCTCTATGCTATGTAGAAAGATAAACTTCTGATACTGCTGCTTCTTAAAGGCATTATCAATAAAAGACAAATAAATCCATTTGAGCCATATTGTTATGAATTTAGCTTTGGGGTAACCCATCTGTTACAATCACCTAATGAGTAATTGCAGGAATTTAATGAATAAGAATTAAGAAGACCAAATTTTGAAACATTGTCTCTTTACTTTGAATAATTCCTTAATAATAAAAACTTTATTATTTGAAATTTTTACATTCAATCATATATTCCACCTCATTAAATCCTTGAATAAATTGATCGAACCCTAATAACTTCCTAATATTGGTTTTAGGAAATTGTCTGAAATATTTATTAAGATTTCATGCATCTTATATCTGGTTTTTCAAACCATTGTTGAGAACTATGATTCAACAGTTACTTCATTGATCAATTATTGGATCTAATTAATCTTGCAAGTAAATAAACCTTTCTGAAATTTTTGAATTTTTTCTAAATATTTTTGATATACGAATTAAGATTTATGTTATTTCTTATCAATACGAAAAATTTAATTTAGTAATACATATTGTGAAATGAAAGAAGTCCAATTTCAATAATGCATATTTTAAATTTAGCTATTAAATTATTCTTCAAAATACTCCTTATGCCACTCAGAGAGGCAAAGCAATCTTTATGGTTGTGAATTTTAGAAAGATATAGATATTATGGCAATATTTGACCTAATAACTTAAAATAATTTTGATTTGAAATTAAAAAGTTGATATGTTTTTGAAACAAATATTAAGGTTTGTTTATAGTAAAAAAAGTTCAATGAAAGTGATGCGCCTGAAGTTAGATTCATAATATTATAATAAAAATAAAAAAAAACCTCATTTAAGTTTTAATAACTACAATGCTATCTGAAATACTAATCTATTCATTTACAGTTTATAAGATATTTCTCCAGAAAGATTATGGTTTTAAATTATTAGTTTAAATGAAAAATCTTTTACCCAAAAGCAATTGAAAAGGATTTTTATGAAAGTCAGAACTCTAAAAAGTAACCAATTTTGTAATCCTGTCATCTAAATTAGCCACAACCTAAAATTCCTAAGCCAATCATATGCTCAATAGTATTCTTCATATCTAATTATGGACAAATGCGGACAAAACAAAATGAATGAATAACCTATTTAATTTTTAATCTCTAATAAACCGTTATAGATTGTAATTGAAGAAAAATTATATTACAGTTTGTGAGAAGAATCGGATTTATAAAAATCGTTTTGGTGATTTTGGATAAAATATAAAAAGAATTAGGGGATGTGCAGCAACATGGTACGGAGATGTTCTATAAGCGGTTGGGGGAATTTACAGTTTAGATAAATGAAATGATCTTAATATGATACTATGAAAATGGAAAAATAAGGTTTTAGAAAGAAAAAATATCAAATTATTGGGCTAAAGATAGGATTCAAAAATAGCTCGAGCCGAACAAATATGAGTTTATTAGAGAGCAAGAAACTAAAAATGCAATTAAGGCATTAAAGAAAGGTTAGATTGCCAACAGATGATAGTGTCTCTAAGCACCGTAGCGGTCTGGGGTGC